AGGATCAAATCTGATAATAATAGATAGAAATAAAACATAAAATAAAATAACGATAAATAAATTGCAGCAAGATATTTTTAGAAACAAAAAGCATACGGTGGGTAAACAAATTACTGTTGAAGACGTATCAGGAGAACACTCGGGATTATATAGAGGTGGACTCAGCTAAGCAACGCCGTGGAGGGTATCACAAAGGACAGAGCCATCCTGGCCTTCCAACGGGGTGTGAGGTACAAACACCTCCAGCTCAAGCTGGGGCTAACTAGGATTACGTCCATGCGCCTATTGATGGACATGGCCAACAAATATGCAAATGGAGAGGAAGATGACAGATTCCAAAAAGGAGAACCTCAAACCAGCCGACTGCTCATAATGGGTAGAACAATTAGATTTGCAAGAGCGACAAGAACAAGCGCCGTCAGAATAGACGTTGGAGATGGTCGCATTTGTCAGCTAAGGAAAGAAAGGTGTGGGGCAGAAAAAAGAATGGAGCCCGCGAAATAAACAGGAAAGTGAGAATATACTGGACAAGCCTTGTTGTATCAAGAATAATTTGGAATTCGGACACACACGCACACGCGAGCGCGCGCGCGTGCACACACACACACTAGCGCTTATGCCCATGCGTTGCGACCGAAAAGAAAATTAGGGTTATGTGCAATCACAATGGTTCATAGCGAATACACTATGAAGAAATGCTAGTTGTCCCACCTATATATGCAAAGAAATGCTGATTGTTCCATTCACCTAAACATCCAACAGTGCTACCGACGGCAGGGAGGCGCACACTGAGGTCTAGAAGAAATACATATCAGCCGCACAATCACAAAAGGAGCCATAGCGTAGTTGGGAGTTCCACGTAAGGTCATCGGTGCATAGCGTAATTGGGAGTTTTTTTTTCGGGGTTGTAGTTGGGAGTTCCACATAAGGTCATCGGTGCCTACTAGACGCTCAGAACACGGGCAATCATCTGGACACAGCTGGCTAGCCATGCCTCGCTTGTTTTTTTTTGAGATAAGCCTCGCTTGATGCAGGGCCGTCTTTTGCCCCGGACAACATGAAATATCCATGCATCTGTTTCTTGATATAATTAGAATTTTCATCGATGCACAGGCCTAACGAAACAACGGGAGGAACCCGTCAGGCGAAGGCCCAACCCAGCAAATTGGAAACTCAATCTTGTGTGGGCTTTGACACAGATAACAAAATCTATAGAAAAAATAACTTCACTTTAGAACACATCATCTTGTCTGGCTGGGTGGCAACCCCTGGGTTGTCTCTTTAACCCGCGCCACAGATAACAAAATCTATAGAAAAAATAACTTCACCTTAGAACACATCATCTTATCTGGAGGGTGGCAACCCCTGGGTTGTCTCTTGTATAGATTGTGTGTTTGACTCCTGGCTCCGGCGATTATTTTTTAGTCTTCAGCAGACTCCCGGTTTCGTTCGTACGTACGGGACGAGCACATATGTCCGTGCATTGCAACGGGAAAGAAAATTAGGGTTATGTGCAATCACAATGATTCATAGCGAGTACACTATGAAGAAACGCTAGTTGTTCCACCTATGTATGCAAAGAAATGCTGATTGTCCCATTCACCTAAACATCCAACAGTGCTACCGACGGCAGGGAGGCGCACGCCGAGGTCTAGAAGAAATACATATCAACCGCACAATCACAAAAGGAGCCATAGTGTAGTTGGGAATTCCACGTAAGGTCATCGGTGCATAGGGTAGTTGGGAGTTCTTTTTTTGTGGGGAGTAGTTGGGAGTTCCCCGTAAGGTCATCCGTGCCTATTAGACGCCCAGACCACCGACGGTCATCTGGACATCGCCGGCTAGCCATGCCTCGCTTGATGCAAGGCCGTCTTTTGCCCCGTACAACATGAAATATTCATTCATCTGTTTCTTGGCATAATTAGAATTTGCATCCATGCATAGGCCCAACGAAACAACGGGAGGAACCCGTCAGGCGAAGGCCCAACCCAGCAACGTGGAAACTCAACCTTGCGTGGGCTTCGACTTTGTGTGGGCTCTTTAACCAGCGTCACAGATAACAAAATCTATAGAACCGATAACTTCACATTAGAATGCATTATCTTGTCTGGATGGGTGGCAACCCCTTGGTTGCCTCTTGTATAGGTCGTGTGTTCGACTCCTGGCTCAGGCGATCCCTGAGGACTGCAAGCTTCATGATCCCCTAGATGTTGCCCTGCATCACCTTTAGGGGCCCCTCCCAGCATATCCGTTGTTCTTCTCTGGCGGACAAACGATCAGTTCGCTGTTGCGGCGATGCTGCGAGATTCTGATGGTGGTGACAGCGGCCAGGAGGCAACACCTCTCGGTATACCAGCCAACAACAAGATTTTAGCTTGGTTCAAGAACCAACAAATCTCTCCCCTCACCCAAAGGGGAGGAAACAACATTTCACAAGACGGTAACTAAAAACAACAAACAACATACAAGAAAACCAAGCCAAAAAGAAACCAACCAAATATAGAGTTTACGCATAGCCAACAGGCCATCCATGACACACGAGTATATAGTGTTGATAGACAAAGACATCGACACACAAGACAACAAGTTCCATTTGCAGGGTGGTCGCGAGCCCGGAGTGCCAAAGCAAGAATCGTCATGTGATTCCACGCTTCCCCCTCCAAAAGCCTAGCAACTGCTGAATGCTGACTACATCTTGAGAGATACATCCCCCGCATCATGCCAGATCACACGGGGCTATGCTCTTTTGGCTTCAATTACTGCTACTTAGGACCCAAGGCTGCAATCTGCTGCTCCAACTACATCAAAAGAAGAATAGATTATTATGATAGGTCTACGAAGTACAGTGCTGCTTAAGTGGGTACATGGCAAAGGTTAAGTTGAGCTGGGAAACAAGAAGATACAACTGCTTTTTTTGAGCTAATGTATACATCTAACGAAACATTGTGACAAAATTAAGGCAGAAACATTCAACGACCAAATGGGACTTTCGAAAACCTCGAACTAAGTGCTCCAGAAACCAAAAAACATATTGCTATAAAAATTTCAACAGTAACAAAAATAAGATCAAGGCTATTATTGTTTTTTTATCTTAAGCAATATATGACCAGTCTATGTATTTACGATACTTGTGAGAAGTTGGAAGTCAAAAGCCAACATAGACGCATAAGATGCTACCTGCATAATGGCCTGTAGCCTGCCGCGCACATCATAGAACTCGTTCCTAAGAAGATTCAATGCCGTGAGACACCTGAAATAATGCAAACACACCACACTGTCACGTTCTGAAGGGGTTAAGCAAACTGAATTGAAATGCTTCGGAAATTGTAACCCGTTGTTTGAGAAAGAACTCTAGCCATCTCAAAACTTAGTTGTGGTATAAACAGAAGTCTAGAGTAACAAGTTACATGAGAATTATCAAAGAGGCATATATTGAGATAAAGAAGTGAGTTATATCAATCACCTTATTGGAGATGAAGTGAACAAGCAGGTTAGTTCTTATGAACCTTAGATTAATATGAGCCAAAAATAGTGTCATAAAAGACAAAATAAGCTTGCAGGTTTCACAGAGGGGATTTGATAATCACATAGAGTAGAGAATAATTACTATGCAACATATATAGTAAGGTATCAAGAACTGACCCTTCTTTGTTTTTTGCCTTGTAGAACTGGCGAAAGTGCTCGCAGGCGAGGTTAACTTTCCTAGCACCAACACTGATACATGCTAAAAAGAGCAAGATCAAGAAACTGAAAATTTCTCAAACTTAACAAACGCTAAGGAATGTTGATTCACATAAGCATAATTGCGGTGTCACAATAATATTGGGGGAGTCATTCATCATGGTTATTACCAAGATATTTTTTTTGATAAACCGGAAAAGAAAACAACATTGTTGGCCTTATGTGCGATAGCAGTTAGTAGTGCTAGAGATATTTATAAAACGATAAAATTTCCCTGGCCTAACAGGATGAATATCGGCATTTCCATTTGCACAGAACACAACTAAACTCGTCTCTTGGAATTATGGCTAAACGACAACACAAACTGCACAAGGCACATACCCACAACGTATACACACCCACGACGACAGATCCAAATAGAGACAACATCAATGTATGTAGCGGAGAAACACCCATTGGCGTTACATAGAGCAGGAGATCATTAATACGTTGTTGAATATCACATTCAATAGTACGAGCAATTTCCACAAAACGACAAAGTTTTCCTAGACAAGTTTTAGCATTGCCATTGGCAGGAATGCCGACAATTCCATCTTATGAAATATGAAACAAAACTAAACTCAGCTCTTCTATTTATGTGTATACGACAACCGCAAACGACACAACACCGACACATCCGAATAGAAATGTGGACAGACGAGGAAAACCGCCACCACCGTTATCCTGAATAGCATATCACTAGTAATAACATGATGGCTCACAAGACGACAAAGTTTCAATTTCTCGTCGAGCCATAACATTGCCGTTGGATGAATACCAGTACCCCCGTTAGGTACACAACAATTATTTCCTTAACGAGTTTTAGCATTTTGCCATTGCCAGGAATGCCGACAATTCCGTTATACTAAACCCAGCTCTTATATTTATGCGTATACGACAACCGCAAATGACACAGCACCGACACATCCTAATAGATTTGTGGACAGACAAGAAAAACCGCCATCGCCGTTACGCTGAATAGCATATCACTAGCTAATACCAGGAAGGCTCGCAAGACGACAAAGTTTTAATTTCTCGTCGAGCCATAAACATTGCCGTTGGACACTTATACTTATGGCTACGCAGTAGTGCGAAGCTGCAAACAACACCTACCAAAGGGTAATGCCCATGACAAACACATCAGAATCGATGCAGTGGGGAAATAAATCACCTGCAGCTGCACGCCTTGAGCTGGTGCACCAGTTCGCCCACCATTTCAAAGTCGACGACGGGCAGGTTCCTTGGAGGGAATCAGAAATTAAGCAGAGGAGACAAAATCATCAATACTCAAGACGATCGGGATAAGGAGAGCAGAGGGCTTGGGCGCGGTGGTACGGCACGGACAGAAGGCTGGTGATATCGTTGAGCATCCTGTCGGCGTCGCCGAGGAAGATGTTGATGACCTCGGGGACGAACCCCTCGTCCTGTGGCGACTGCAGCTGTTGGTAGTACTCGTCCAGAATTCCCTGGATCCATCAGGCCAAGTCAGAAGACAGCCATACAGCCATCCGGGGCACGAATTCCAGCCCCAGGGCCACACGGTCGCGCACTACAGAGTTGAGGGGAGGGACGACTCACCGTGGCGTACATGTAGCTGATGTGCTCGTTGAGCTGGCTTCTTAGCGCGGCGGCCGGCATGGCGAAGCGAGGAGGTCCGGGAGTCCGGCGATCCGGGAGACAGAGGTCGGAATTCGAAGCTGCTGGCGGAGTGGACGAGGACAGGAGAGGAGTGCAGGTCACGGAGGCTCTCTCACGGAGCCTTTTGGCAGGGAGTGCTCGTTAAACTCTACTGTGCTGGCCGCTATCAATGAAGAGCTTGGAGAGGAGTGCAGGCAGGTCACGGTGGCTCTCTCACGGAGCCTTTTGGCAGGGAGTGCTCTACTGGCTGGCTGTCATCAATGAAGAGCTTAAAGTTGAAGATGGCATACGTGCGTGTGCATGCAGCTACATTTTGGTGGATGAATGGATGGATGCCGGGCGAGTAAGCTACAGGTTGACCACGACAGCGTCAGCCAGGCAAGCAGATGCTAGAAGGGCTTGACCACTCGTTCGGCCCTTAGCCCATGCCCCACTGGTCATTGACGGAAGGGAGTGTTGCTTTTGTAATGCATAGCCCCTCACTAAATAGTAAACTAGATCGGGATCGCGCCTTGGCGCGAGGGTGTCTCTTCAAACATTTTGGTCAAGCAGGTAATACTAAGTCCTAAGTCCAATAGTAATCTTGGTTTAGCATATACATTCATACAGGGTAACAATACAATGAAGATTCAGTACAATAATGTTCATCTAAGGTTGTCTGAATTTCAGTTTCACATGAATATATATTTACTAAAAGACTTCCACTATTTGCACCAGAAGGCATCGTAAATGGTCCTCCAATGTGTTCTTGATGCCGAGCCCTACAGAGAAGGAAGAAGGGAACATGCGATCAAAGAGCACTACAAGAAAACCGAGATACTGTGTCGAAAATCCTCGTGACGGAGATGGACAACGTCATGGAAATACCTAATGTGTGATGATTTCGTGGGTGGCATCATTGATTACCGCAAATCAGAGACGATAGAAGTCACTAAGTCGTTTCAACCATTGAGCGTACCTGGCTACCAATTTCTACGACGGTTTGGTAATTTCTTTGACGAACCTAATAGATTCGCCGAATATTGCGAATGTTTTATGATAAAATTTTCTCAACTAGTGTCTACCGATGGGACCCGCCATAGCTGCTTCCACTAGTAGAAAATAGGGCTTTGGTCACAACTCAATATACAAATTAGTCCCGGTTGCATTACGAACCGGGGCTAATGTGAGCATTAGTCCTGGTTCGAGCGGCTAAAGGCATTAGTCCCGGTTCAAATGAGACCTTTAGTCCCGATTTGAGACACGAACCGCGACTAAAGGGTGCGATGCTCTTTAGTCCCGGTTCGTGTCTCAAACTGGGACTAAAGATTAGACCTTTAGTCCCGGTTTGAGACACGAACCGGGACTAAATGGTGTGATGCCCTTTATTCTCGGTTCGTGTCTCGAACCGGGACTAAAGAGGTTCGTGTCTCAAACCCTACCACCCCCCTTGTATCGCCATTTCAGTTTTGAAAAAAACAAAAGAAAATGATAGAAACTTCAAAAAATAAAATCCTTCGAGATGTAGTTATATTACTACATCTACTAGTTAGGAAAATTTTAAAACTTAAATTTGGACATGTTTTGTAAAAAAATGTTATGAAAAAGTAAAACGGCCATAACTTTTGCATACGATGTCGAAAAAACGTAGATATATCAAAATGTTCAGCATGAAAATCCGCATCCGATTTTGACTGTCGTAGGCCTGTTTGCAAATTATTAGAATCCTCAAATTTTAAAAGAAAAAAAGTTATGCTCAAATTTCATTTTTTTTAATTTCGGTTAAATCTGGTCAAACTATGGTCAAACTACTTATTCAAGAAGTATTAGTGTTACTAAATAATTATTCAAGAATATTAGTTTTACTAAATAACTATTTTAGTTTTTTTTGAATTTTGGTCAAATCTGGTCACACTATGGTCAAACTACTTATTCAAGAAATATTAGTGTTACTAAATAATTATTTTTTTTTAGAATAATAGTTTCAAATTCAAACAGTGAAACGTGTGACTTCATGCTCAAGCTAAACTCCTGAGGGTTAATAGGATTGATATCTTACTATTGTCAGGAAAACAACAAGTGCAGACTTGGAAACGAGGGGGAATAGAACCCGAAAGTTAAGCGTGCTCAGGCTGGAGTAGTGAGAGGATGGGTGACCGGCCGGGAAGTTAGATAATTTGGAATAATGAGGGGTGATTAGAGATTAGAGGTTAAATTGAGCAGTGATGAGGGGTGTTTAGAGATTAAATTGTAAAATAATTCAGAAATTTGAAAATCGGGAAAAATTAAAAAAATTAAAAAGAAAATCATAAAATTTCCTTTAGTCCTGGTTGGTGTCGAGACAGCAGCCACGTGGAAGGCCTTTAGTCCCGGTTCGTAACAGAACCGGGACAAATGGGCCTTTTTCTACTAGTGTTCATGGCTTATTGAGCGGTAGGACCTGTGTACCAATGTTGGCAGTAGGACCCACCTTGTTTTTTTAGAGTCTAGTGAGCTCTATAAATATTTTCTTCCATCTAATATAGATAGGTAATAGCGAGTGAAAAACTTATTTTGTTCCATCTAAAAAAATAGATAGTGGCCGGGCAAAAATAACTTGAAACCATGCATTCATGATTTGATGTTATTTCGTTCTATACAAAAATAAAAATGGAAATATAAGTTAACAAGTAAAAGTTTGGTACACGGGGTTTGAACCGGGGACCATTATGGTCTGAGCAAACGGCGGTGCTAATAGGCTAGAATTTTATTTAGATACTTATATGTATTTAGATACTATATGCATCCGAAAAATAATATTATGGTCATTGACCGAAGGGAGCGTCCCTTTTGCAATGCACTGCCTATCATTAAGAAGTACATTGCATACATATACTATATGTTAGTTTTCCTAATGCATATTCTTGGCATGTTGATATCTTTTACCTCGAAAACATAAATACATAAAACACATAAATACGTAATAATGTTGGTTTGTGCTAAAACAAGGAAAGAAATCATGATTTCATCAATGCAAAATGCCAAATCAATTTGTAGATTTTTTAGTGGTATTCACATCGGACGTGGACTTTAATTTGGAACATGGTTCCACAGGATCCCCCTGCGAATAGTAAATTTGGAAAACATACTTGGACAAAAAATCTGATTTTTTTGTAAGATATGTAGCCGACCGATATACTCGCGTATGAAGCTTCATGATGAAATGATATCCGTGGTATTCTGAGCAAAAATGAAGAAACGATGCTATAAAAAAGGCAACTGCTAGGCGTCAGCCGAAAAGGATCAGCCACTTCGCCAGCCATCGATTCACCCTAATAAGAACCCGTTTGATCCTCCTGTTGAGTTGACCATGCCATCTCTTCAATCCCCATGTACGCAACATCCGCATAAGTTGCAAAAAAAACACCTGCATAAGTTGCAAAGAAGCATCCCCGATTCCCGACCCATGCCCTCGTGTAGCTCTAGTGGGGGTATCAGCTTCCGTCGATAGAGCATGTTGTAACATAGCATCCTACACGACTCTGGCGGCAGCTCATAAGCTCATCACGCTCGAGCATGCTGCAATGCAACACCCACGTGACTTCGGCTAGCAACCGCGCTAGTCCATCTTGCAAGCACAACGGTGGCAGCATGCGATGCTACATCACAACTCCTTTCTTCCTGCTCGCCACGGATCTCTGGCTTGCAGCACCCTGACCCGGCTCTATCGCAACCTTGAAGTAGCCGACGCTCCAAGCTAGGGGCCATATGACACTCCGGTGAGTGGCCTCGAAGTACAAGCACATTAGCTGCTATGACGACCCGTTGAACCAACGACAACTGTTGCATTGTCGGCGAGCTCTTAGGTTGCAGCATCGGCCGCGGCTACCACGCCGACAAGCTTGTGGTAGCAACGTCAACGAGGCTCTGCAGTTGCAGCATCGGCATGCGAGTGCGGCCTTGTAATATTGGCCTCTAGCAACGCTAGATTGCAGCAGGCCAACAGCCATGGCAGCTGCGACGACCGGCTACAATAGCATACACCGATTGCAGCACTCTGGCGAGGATATAAGGTTCCAGAACTAGCAAGTGCTGCCACGAGCGGCTTCCTGGGCCAGATCGAGTAGATGCTACGGGGGAGATCTGATCAACACGCTGGGGGTAGGAGAAAAAAAATAGCAGTGAATGCTTTGTTGGTCGGGAGCTGAGGTGCGCTGGCCTCAGCGGGATGTGTGGCAAGCATAGGAGGCATCTCAAGGATTTTCCAACAAAAACACACTTTTGAACGAATAGTATAATCCTGATTATATTTTCTTCACTAACAATACCACGGGTTCTCATTCGTTTATACAACTTCATATGGGAGTAGAATGGTCAACCAAGTTTGATACTCCAAATTCCAAGATTTTTTTGCATTTCTCTAGTATTTTTTTTTTCTGATTTTACAAATCATGTGGGTGTGCACCTTTGTATTCCGGTATTCACACCCTTTTATGTCAATGTAAGGCATTTATCTTCTCTCGCGATTGGTGAAGTTCGCTAAAATGACTAGAATAAATATGACCACAACATATTTTCTCTGCACCCATTAGTCTCTAGCTTGAAAACGTAATATGCAAGAATATTTGCAGTTTGGCAAGAAGGCAATATTATTAGTGGCACAAACTATTCATACCTATGTAATGAATATTTTTAAATTGCTGGCACATGACTCTGTGATGATTTGACTTGTATGTTGACACAATATTGGTGGTGGTTGGCGGTGGGTAGAGAATAATAAAAAGGAAAAATGTCATGGTTATCATGGCACAAATTAGTTCTTTTGAATGCAAAATGTGGCTTATGCTTTAGAGATATATGCGAGCATTTGATCAAGCCCTATTAGTAAACAAGCTTTGTTGATTCTGGACTCTTTGAGAAGCATATATGTGCAAGGCTTCTCAGATAGAACTATTATCGTAGTGGTAATTTGTTGATACTACCCCCGTCTAGGTGAATAAGTCATTCGCGTAGTTCTAGGTCATCGATTTGAGGAATTAAAT